AACATCTGTTTGGTAATAATCAACTTGGTGATGTTAGGCTGACCCCCAGCCCCAGAAGATGCCTGGTTTGCCACATAGGATGAAAGAGTGGAGTTAACAACAATAGAAGGGGACAGGGCAGGGGGCTCTGTTGAAACTGGTGCTGGAGATGCTGGGTCAACGGTAGCCACAGGAGGTGGAGAAGGAGTCTGTGATGGTGGCACTGGATCCAGCTCCACTGTTTCCACAGTAGCCTAAAGGAAGACCCAAAAAAAAAATCATTGGGAAATTGACTCTATTCCCTGGGACATATTCACTTTAATCACCTCCCAAAAGAGACACCATAGATTGGAAGGAAAACAGCAGCTGTGGATAAACAATAAAAATAAACTCATGCCCTGGCCGATGTGGCTCAGTTGGTTGAAGCATCCTCCTGTGCACCAAAAGGTTGCCTGTTCAATTCCCAGTCAGGGCACATACCTAGGTTTTGGGTTCAATCCCCTCCCTGGTCAGGGTGTGTGCAGGAGACAACTGATTGATGTTTTTCTCTCACATCGATATTTCTCCCTCCCTCCCTCTCTAAAATCATCAACAAAAAAGAAAACATCAAAAAAGAAAAACTCAGACTGTTTGGCAAGGTTTATGATGGGAACAACAGGAAACCATGTTATATATTTCTAAGTTTTTAATACTACATAGTATTAAGAAGTTCCACAGGAACCTGAACATATACACAAAAACCCTTGCTTCCTTTGTCCCTCCCTCTCTCCCTCCCTCCCTCCTTCCTTCCTTTCTCCCTCCCTCTCTACCTTCTTCTTTCCTTCCTCCCATCCTCCCTTCCTCCCTTCTTGTCTAAAAAATAAAAATAAAAGATAAAAATAAAAGATAAAACAAAAGAAGTTCCACAGGTTTTTGGTGGTATTCTTATAACTGCTAATAAACAGCTCAAAAAAAACCTTTATTGGTTTAAATATTCACCTGCCTTAACCCTCTTACCTGACACTCTTGATTGTCTTTATAAGCAGCCAGAGCTTTCAGATACTCTTTCTTGGCAGCCTCAGTTTTCCTCTTATATACCTGCAGGAAAGAGAAACCGTTTAAGAAGTCCCCATGCTCCTAGAAAAGACTGATAATTCTATTATTTATTCATCAATGAATGACAATCTCAGTCTAAATACTGACAACTCCTTTTAGTGAATACACTTCTGAAAGCTAGTATTCAAGACAGCCTCCATTCAGACTTTCCAGGGACCAAGCATCTGAAAGCCAGCAACAACAAAAATCTTGCCAGAATAACTACACTTCTAAAGTTACCACCAACCCATGCCCACTTCTAGTAGCAAAATAAATCCTGACCCCAAAACTATTTCAGACCAGTAGTCTGCTTAGCCTGGGATTGTGCCTAACCAGTATACTCTCCCTTGAGGAATGTGTTAAATTTTTGCAATGGTGACCACAAGAACTCTTTCCATCTTGTAAATCTCTTCTTCCATCAAAAGCTGAAACCTATTCCTCCTTTCTTTGAATCTGGCTAGCTCTATGAATTGCTTTGACAATTAAAATGTGGCTGAAGTGACACAAAAAGACCTTGGGGCATCTGTTTTTGTCCCTTTGGAACACTGGTCTAAGTCTGCCATACTGTAAAGAAGCCAGTGTAGCCTATGTGGAGGATAGGGGCCATGTGAAAGAACCAAGGCATCTTAGCCAAAGGTAGCACCAACTGCCAGACATGAGAGCAAAGTCACCTTAGTCAGCCATACCAGCTGTCATTTGACTACAACCACAAGAATGAGCCCAGGCAAGAATACTAGGAAAACCACCCAACCAATTTACAGAATCATGAGAAATACTAAGCTGCCATTGTTTTAAGCCATTAAATTTGTGGTGCTCTTCTGAGTAGTAGCAGATAACTGATACATCTATAATAAATTCATCTTTCTCAAATTATTAAGTAGCAGATTCACTCTGACACAAGACCTGGATAGTGTATGATAACTATAGCCATTTCAATTCTCTTTTTTTATATACTATCACAATTTTCATTTACTTTTGAAATCCAGATTACATTTAGGGAGATTGACAATAGTTATCAAGTTTAAAGTAGGCCAATGAGAAAATCCTAAACTAAATTCTAAATCCAAACTTGGTAGTGGATTTCAGAGTTAGCCACTAACTTACCAAGGAGTAGTCTAATTTTACAGTGGGGGGGGGAATGAGGCTTAGAAAAGTTAGATTCAGTGTTTTTATAATTATTAATTTTTAGATAGGTATTCTGGACTTGGTGTATGACAGCAGCTTCTAAAACAAAGGATGATCCATGAATGCCATTAACAAAGAGCTGATAGTAAATGAAAACATATAATAAAGTTAAAAGAAAACTTAGTTTTTATCCCCTTACTTAAAAACCTCTAGAATATTCATTATCCACTAGTTCTTCATCATTTCCTCACCTGTTTTTGCTCCTCTCCAAGACTGTCCCACATGGAAGCCACAATTTTTGAAACTTCCCCAAAAGTGGCATTGGGATTCTGTCCCTTGATGGCAGCCTGTGTATCACGAAAGAATAAAGCATATGCTGAAACTGGTTTCTGAGGTTCATTAGGATCTTTCTTTTTTCTCTTCTTTGGGGTCTTCTGCTTTTTCCCTGCTTCCACCACAACTGTCTTCTGGCTGGGAAGTTGCTGTAGGGAAGAAAAGAGAGAATTACAAGAAGAAAGAAGGGAAATATGTCCAGAGAACTGTAAGAAAAGGACTTTTATATGGGGGAAACTAGCTACATGGTTGAAATTTTCAGAAATGCTAAAAATAGAATAGGATTAAGATATTAGTAAAGTATGTGAGGACCAATAAGAATGGCGATTAGGAGGATCATTATAAACTATAACTTGAGAGGCAGGACCCCATACCCAGAAAAAAGCAAAGATGGCAGAACAGGAGTAAAGATACTGAGTAGCTCTGAATGCCAATCATGGCAGATATGATTTTTGGCAGGGAATGCCTCACCCTCCGGAAATCCTCAACACCATCCTCATGAAGTGAACTAGTAGGTGAAGGGGTAGTTGAAAGACGATCCTCAGGTGACTGGGCAGGTGGCAGGATGGTACCACCCCCTAAGCTCAAACCAAGTTGAGAACTCAGTTCTGACTGATCAATGGTGGTCAACTGGCTATGCCCCATCAAGCCAGACGTCATGTCTGTCATTGGTACGTCAATTGTAACAGGTGGGTTGGCGCTATACTGAGTTCCTATAGAATGGTCCAAGTCCTGAGAGAAGCAGAAGGACTAATTAAACACTAAACAAAGAATACCACTCTTCCCCCCACCCTGAGTTCAGGACAGTTTATAAACCCCCTACTCATCCACACTGTATCACTGTTTAAACTCTAACATCAAATAATATGTCTATGTATAAAGCTTTTTAATAAAGTACAGAAATTAGTGAAGTCACTTCTTTGTACTCAAAGGCCTATTCCAAAACAACTAAAAATAACCAAAGAAGTCTTAATTTTGGACAAGTTAAAGAGCAAATAAATTATTTGGTAATCTGGAGGTAGTGATGACACAAGAGGTAAAGAAAAACTTCCTCCCTGTACCCTGCTAAAGTAATGACTTTTAAAGTTGCAATACACTCAGATTTACAATCAGAGTAAATAAGGCCAAAGTCAAGATGCTTCACATCAAATATGTGTGGAGATGCACTACTAATGAGATGTGCGGGAAGCTCAATATACTGATCTATAACACATACTAAACCAAAATTAATATAATTCGTTCAGACTGTTTTTGAATAAATTTCTCAATGTGCCAGCTATCACACTCACATTTGAATCCTAGGATGTGAAGGCTGTATCACAGTAAATTATTTTCAATTCCGGGTTAACATGGGATATTTTACAGTTTTAAACCATTTTTCAAGTAAAATTGATTCTGATGATATATTTCATTCAGTCGTGGGAAATTAAGTCTTTGTCAATGAGCCTTCATTCACAAGAGTGAGAAACATAATACCCAAGTGTAGTAGGGAACAGAGAATCACTTTTGTCTTCCCTAACACCATGCCCATGAGCTTGGGTAAGTCTGAAAATATATTGACCCTTACCATGGTCAAGCCCCCACTCAGGAGCCCCCCACCCTGCTCCATCAAGCCATGGGTCATGCCCACAGGCATGTCCAATGTCTGGACCCCATATTGGGCTGAAAAGCTGCCATCCTGAGAGGAGGACGGGTCTGCCAGGTCATCAAAGTGGCCAACCACATCTGAGACTGCCAGTGAAGGATCAGAATCCAAAGAGATAGGTGGGATTTCAAATTCCTCATCACCCAGGCTTGGTGTATGGAATGTCTGTAGGGGGAAAAAAGAGGAAAAATAATTAATGGAAAGAGAAGCTGCATACTGCTAAGTGAAGAACATGGCTGGGTACTGGAGATTCTCAGTGTATCTCTTTCCAGCCTGGATCCTATATTTGTTATCAATTTCTTAGGACCTATTTAATTTTACAGGTAAATCTCTCTTTTTTCTCATATCCTTGGTCATATGGCATATACAAGGCTGCCAACATCAATCAGTTTTTAATTCTTTTATCTCTTTTCTACTTTTATCATCTCAGCTTTCCTAAAATATTATGCCTAGTATTCTAATGAATGATTCATTCAGCACCATTAGTAAGGACTCAGACTTTACAACCTGTTTAGCTATGATTTTTAAAGTCTCTCTAAAGATTCCAATAGATAGCAGTTATTTCATGATTACTACACCACGCTGTTGGACCACACAGAAATTAATTGTCAACCAGACAATCATACTTTGTTGTTTTAAGTTCCTTGGAAGCTTATCCTATCATGGGTACTTTATCTTCCTCTATAATGTATGCACTTCATTTCCTACCTCTTTTCCATTTTAGAAATCATTATGTTAACAAATAAGATTCCCATTTGTACAGAATGTTCAGAAAATCCAACAATGCCAAAATAAGGATAATAGTGAGGAGAAAACACAAGAGCTACAGTCAAAAGGCAAACTGGTGCTCGGTTCCGCAGCACGTATACTAAAATTGGAATGATACAAAGAAGATTAGCATGGCCCCTGTGCAAGGATGACAAGCAAATTAGTGAAGTGTTCCATATTTCTTTTTAAATGGAAAACTGGTTTTCTAACAGTTCCTGAAAATATTCCTGATCTTGCTCTGACCAAGCCTTTCTTGTATGCAAGGAAGAAAAAGATTACTCCAGCTGGCTAAACACTCAATCTCTTCCTGAGTCCAACTACAAAAATAATATACTCTATTCTGAATGGGGTCACCATTCATGAACTAACAGACCAACTGCTGACATAAGATACATTAAATGCTATAGTTCTTTTCTGACACTAAAAAACTAAAATGGCATCTGCAACAATACAGCATTATACAGGGTGGGACAAAATTAGGTTTTCAGTTGTGTGTATGTGAAACAGTTTAGTCTTGTATTATTAGTTATTAATTATTATATTATTTTCCATATGAACTGTAAACCCACATTTGCCAAAACCTGTAAATAATATCAAGAGACACTGGTGTCAAGAGAGGTCTTGGTTCAAATCCCAGATCTGCCACTTACTACATGACCTTAAATGAGCTTTCCTCATCTATAAAATGGGAGTTGGTAATCTCCTTATATGGTTTTTATTAGGATTAATAGGACTGTGTGTGTGTGTGTGTGTGTGTGTGTGTGTGTGTGTACACACACATATATTAAGCTATTTGCTTAATAGCTATTATTAACCAACTTTTATTAATGATAATACCTGAAGTTTTACTAACTTGCTAGCTGCCCCAACCATTTATCATAAGTAGCTGAAATTTTGGAAACTTTAAATTCTATCAACCTGTCATATGGCATAGTAAATGTCAACTGATTCAGATCAAATTCAATAAACACCCACATTTTTTTTCATGATTAAACAATGCATTTTAAGAGGTCCTCAAGGTTTTTCTAGACCCAGAAAGGGTCTCACTAATATCATCATTTTTATTTTAATAAAGACGTTGCTAGAAGAACATTTCCAGCTAGTATAAACTAGGGAGAAAAAGGTATGTTTCTGAAATGGCCAATTTCACTAAATCACCTTGGCAAACAGAAATAAGTTTCCTAGAAGATATATATATATATATATATATATATATATTTTTTTTTTTTACTTACCATGGTAAAAATTTGGTAGTTGTCTGGGCTATAACATGACAGTAGCATAAGGAGCATACAAGCAGGCAGCTCTTGATGGAAAAACTAAAACTCTCCCCAAGAACTGAACTTTTCTCAGTACATAACTCATAATTTTTGTTATTGTGTGAAAGTTCTTAACTTTAGGTCCATGAAACTAAAATTTTTTTAGCACCTTTTAAGAAATTTTTTATTTATTGACTTTCAAGAAAGAGAGGGAGATAGAGGGGAGGGAAGAGGGGGAGAGAGAAAGAGAGAAACATCAACAATTTGTTGTTTCACTTATTCATGCATTCATCAGTTGCTTCTTGTGTGTGCCCTGACAGGGATTGAACCTGCAACCTTGGCATATCGGAACAACGCTCTTACCAACTGATCTACCCAGCCAGGGTTTACATGACATTGAAATTTCAGTTTAGATTCATGTTAGCACTTTTCAGGAAGTGGCTACAAAGATTTTTTTTTTTGTACCAAATTCTAATGCACACAAACAAGCTACAGGGTTATTGTGCTAGATCAATCGTTGTATGTATAATAGTGGTTTTAAATTTTTTTAAAAAAGATACAACAAAAGATGCTTAACATACAAATGAAAAGCAACTCTGCTCAGATACGAAACTACTGTTTATGAGAATTGAAAAAGAATAAAAATTCATATCCAAAACAAGAGACCAGTGTTCTACAAAAGCCTAGCCCTCACAAACCATCTTGAGTACTCTCATGCACTACACTAAAAAACTAGACATGCAGAGATTCCATTGTTATTAACAAGGCATTCTTTCTATGTACCACCTCCTGAAAACAGCTTTGTTAGTCACTCTCTGTGGCTTTAATGGTGTGTTTTATGGAGGCAGGGTTTGTTTTATTTGTTTTTTTCTTCCTTTAAGTATGAAGAGTAAAATAATGGCAATGATTAAGACTACAGAAGGGGCCCGGCCAGTATGGCTCAGTGGACTTAGCACTGTCCCATGGACTGAGAGGTCCCAGTTCAATTCCCAGTCAGGGCATATGACTGGGTTGCAGGCTCAATCCCCTATAAGGAGTGTGCAGGAGGCAGCCAATCAATGTTTCTCTCTCACATTGATGTTTCTATCTCTTTCTCTAAAAAAAAAAAATCAATACAAACATATTTTTTTAAAAAATAGAATACAGAAGGGGCCCTAACCAGTTTGGCTCAGCAGTTAGCATGTTGGCCTTCACACCAAAGGGTCAAGGGTTCAATTCCCAGTCAAGCACACATACCTGGGTTGCAGGTTCGATCCCTGGCCCCAGTCAGGGTCATGCAAGAGGCAGCCAATCAATGTCTCTCTCTCACATCGATGTTTTTCTCTCTCTCCCTCCCTACCTCCCTTCCATTATATCTAAAGATTAATGGAAGAATATTCTCGGGTAAGGATTAACAAAAAGAAAAAAAAGAATACAGAAGGGTAAGCCAGCCCTGGCCAGTTTGGCTCAGCGGTTAGTGCGTTGGCCCGCAGACCAGAGAATCCCGGGTTCAGTTTCCACTAAGGGCACGTACTTCGGTTGCAGTTTGTCCCCGGGCCTGGTTGGGGTTGTGTGGGTGGCAGTCAGTCGATGTGTCTCTCTCATATCGATGTTTCTCTCTCTCTTTCTCCCTCTCTCCCTCCCACTCTATCTGAAGATAAATGCAACAATGTCCTCAGGTGAGGATAAAAAAAAAAAAAAAGAAAAAAGGATAACCCACATGCTAGAATAAACACATAGATTCACTCTAAATCCCTTTTACTTACTACAAATGATCTGTAAGATTATGGTTAAAATCCAATAATGGAAACTTATTTTTAGTGGGTTTACTACATATTTAGATCATATTCTAGACTGTCAAAGATAAAACTGTAGCAAACATTGAAGTAAATATAAATGATGTGGGCACAGGAGAAAACAGAAACATGATGCAGCTACCTTCTCACTCAGCTTTCTTTTCCTTCTTTGTTAAATTCCTGGGCCTTTTAAGGGGAAGAAGCAGTTTGGAATTACTGTTCATAAAATAAGGATGCTGACCTATTGAGAGAACCAAAAAATAAAAAATACCATTTCCCTCCCATACCAAAACACACAATCAAGTATTTTAGCTTCTTATGTAAATTATTCATTTTAAAGAAATGTAATCCAACATTTATTTATTCAATAGTACACTGATATTATGAATTATTAAAATAATTTATTGTTCTTTTTTTTTTTTTATCCTCACTCGAGGACATTTTTGCATTTATATTCAGACAGAGCGGGAGGAAGAGAGAGAGACACATCGACTGGTTGCCACCCACACGACCCCAACCGGGCTGGGGACAAACTGAAACCGAGGCACGTGCCCTTGGCGAAAAACCGAACCGAGGCCTCTCTGGTCCACAGGCTGACACTCTAACCACTGAGCAAAACCAGCCAGGGCAATTTATTGTTCTTAAAAACTGATATGTAGCCCTGGCTAGCATGGCTCATTGGTTGGGCATTGTCCCTAGAACTGAAAGGCTGCCTGTTGAATTTCATTCAGGGCACATGCCCAAATTTGGGGCTGAATCCCCAGTAGGGGGCATGGCTCCATCCACAGTAGGGGGCGTGGCTCCATCCCCAGTAGAGGGCAAGCAGGAGGCAGCAGATCCATGTCTTACTCTCACATTGATGTTTCTCTTTCTCCCTCATCCCCCCCCAAAAAAAGCAATTAAAAAAAAAAAAAAAAACTGACATAGTAGTGAAATTTTTAACTATTCAGCCTAAAATCTTTAACTGGTTTGAATGTTATAAATACTTTTTCTAATTAAGCGTAGCTATATTTATGGCCTATTATTTTCCCAAAGTGCTCAAAGCACAGTATCATTATATAAGAACCAACATGAATGAAACAGAAAAATTAAACTCCCTTTAGATTACAGGGCTTTCCTATTCCTCTCTGGATACCTCTTTAAAAATTATTATTTCTTACTTTATGAAGATAACTTAATATACACAAATTTTAAGTGTATAATTCAATGAATTTTTTACATATGTTAACATCAAACTAACCACCACTCAGATCAATGATATAGAATTTCTATCACTCCAAAAGATTTTCTCATGCTCCTTCCCAGTCAGTGCTTCCACAACAGATATCACTATTCCAATTTCTATCACTATAGTTTAGCATTATCTATTCTTTTTTTTTTTTTTTTTTTATCCTCACCCGAGGACATTTTTCCATTTTTTGTTCAGGTAGAGTGGGAGGGAGAGAGAGGAACAGAGAGAGAGAGAGAAACATCGATGCGAAAGGAACACATCGAGTGGCTGCCACCTGCACGACCGACCAGGGCCGGGGACAAACTAGCATTATCTATTCTTGATCTTCATTAAAAATACACTCATGCACTGTCTACTCTTTTATGTATGGTCTCTGTTACTCAACAATATATTTTTGAGATCATCCAAATTGCATTTATTAGTTCATTCTTTTTTATTGCTGTGTAGTATTCCTTTTTACAAACATTATCAATTTATAGACACTTGCTCTGTTTCCAGTATGTACCTACTATGAATAAAGTTGCTGTGAACATACATGTTTTTGGTGAATATATGGACTCACTTCTCTTAGTGAGTGGAATTACTAAGTCACAGGGCAGATATGTATTTATCCTTAGTAGAGACTGCCAGTTTTCCAAAGTGGATGAATCAATTTACACTCTCACCAGCAATGATTAAGAGTTATTTACATTCTTGTCAACTCTTGGAATTGTTAGTTTCTTTAATATTAACCATTCTGGTGGGTGTGCAATGAATGGTATCTGCTTATAATTTTAATTGGTATTTCTTTCTTTTTTAAGAGAGAGGAACAGAAAGAGATAGAAACATCAATGTGAGAATTATTGACTGGCCGCCTCCTACATTGAGCCTGAAACCCAGGCACGTGCCCTGACTGGGAATGGAACTGGGACCTCTCAGTCCATGGGAGGATGCTCAATCCACTGAGCTACATAAGCCGGGCTAATTGATATTTCTTTGATGAGTGATAATGACCCTTTTCACATGCCTAATGGCAACTGGATATAATCTTGTGTGAAGCATGTGTTCAAATTTTTTGCCCATACTACCCTTATCGAGGTAATCACTTCCTAAGTTATATAAGTTATATAAATGTGTAATCACTATGTTGTACACCTGAAACTAATATAATATTGTATATCAACTGTAACTTTTTTAAAAAACTATTTTTCTTTATTGATTTTAAGGAGAGAGGAAGCGGGGGGGAGAGAGAGATAGAAACATCAATGAGAGAGAACTGGGGATCAGGCCCACAACATGGGCATGTGCCCTGACCAGGAATCGAACAGGAGACCTCTTGGTGCATAGGTTGATTCTCAACCACTGAGCTACACTAGCAGGGCTCAACTGTAACTTTTTTAAAAAGAGGAACAGAGATAGGATTTGAACAGAGGTCTCTCCATCACCATGCACTGCCTCCCATTATGACATATTTGCAAAAAATTCAGAACCTAGAAAGTACTCAATAAAATGCCCTGGTCAGGTAACTCAGTTGGTTAGAGCACTGTCCCCATATGCCAAGGTTGCAGGTTCAATCCCAGGTCAGGGCACATACAAGAAGAAACCAATGTATGCATAAATGGGTGGAACAACAAATTGATGTCTCTTTCTCTCTCTCTCAAATCAATTTTAAAAAAAATTTAAATGAGCCCTGGCCGGTTTGGCTCAGCGGTTAGAGCATCGGCCTGCGGTCCGAAGAGACCCGGGTTCGGTTCCCGCTAAGGGCATGTACCTCGGTTGCAGTTTGTCCCCGGCCCTGGTTGGTTGTGCGGGTGGCGACCACTCGATGTGTCCCTTTCACATCGATGTTTCTCTCTCTCTATCTGTTCCTCTCTCTCCCTCCCACTCTATCTGAACAAAGAATGGAAAAATGTCCTCGGGTGAGGATGATAAAAAAAAAAAAAAAAAAAAAAAAATTTAAATGGTATTTTAAAAAAAGGCACTCAATGAATAAATTCCTAACATTAACCAAAGACAAAATGTTTGCCCATTTTTTTTTTTTTTAATCCTCACCTGAGGACATTTATCCTTTTTTTTGTTCAGAGTGGGAGGGAGAGAGAGGAAGAGAGAGAAAAAAAAAACATTGATGTGAAAGGGACACATCAAGTGGCTGCCTCCCACACGACCCAACCAGGGCCAAGGACAAACTGCAACTGAGGTACTACATGCCCTTAGCGGGAACCGAACCCGGGTCTCTCTGGACTGCAGTCAAACTGGCCAGGGCTGCTTGCCCATTTTAATTGGATTATTTCTTTTATTTTGCAAAGGTGTTTGATATTGATATAGTCTGACTATGAGTCAAATATATGTATTAACATATCTTCTCATAGACTGTGGAGGGCCTATTTAATGTCTTTTTTTTCTTTATTGGTTTTTTAGCGAGAGAAGAAGAGGGAGAGAGAGATAGAAACATCAATGAGAGACAACATTGACTGGCCGCCTTCTGCATGCCCCCTACTGGGGATTTGACCCACAACCTGGGCATGTGTCCTGACCGGGAATCAAACCAGCAACCTCTTGGAGCATGGGTCGATGCTCAACCACTGGGCCACACCAGCCGGACCCTATTTAATGTCTTAATGATGTGTTTTGATTAAGTACAATGTCAAGGAAGTCCAATTTTTCAATTTTTTTATGACTAATACTTTTGTGGACATCCTTTTCTTGCAAGAAAACTCTAAAAATACTCTTCTTCTAAAACAAAACAAAAAAATGTTTTAAATAACTACTAGTTCTAAGTGGCTCACAGTAAGACCATATACAACAAAAACCACAAACCAATTAAAATGAAGCTAAAAAAAAATAAAACCTAAGGAAAAGGAAGGTGAAGTGGCAATGAGGAGAAGAACTGTTAACAATGACAGAGTCCTGAGTTAAAAGAGGCCACTGAACTCCGGCCGGTGTGTTAAGTGGTTAGAGCACTGGCCTACACACTGAAGGGTGTCAGGTTAGATTCCTGGTCAAGGGCAAGTACCTGGGTTGCAGGTTCCATCCTCAGTCCCAGTCTCTCTCTCATTATTTACTACTGTCCTAAGCAGGAGAAAGCGTGAATCAAATGAACAGCAAATTTAGAAATGATATACAACTAAAATCTGCTTGACGCTTTGCAGTCCCATTGCCAGTTTCTTCTAAATAATATCTCTGTGGTTTAATTTCATTATTACAAGTGTTGTAAATCTCATATTGGCTTTATCCACATGAGAGTGTATCATCGTCAATTTCTTCTAGATCAGGTCTCCACATTTAAATTTCTTTACTTAGACTGTGGTAAATTTTACATTGTCCACATTTACAAATTTTCCAGGTTTGAGTCCATCCTCTGTTTTTGCTTTTATGTCCTTAAGACGTTAAAAGAAAAACACCAAAAGTACTTTGCTAGGAGACTAATAAATTAAATTTCAGTGCCCTCTCTTTTTTTTCTTGTTAATCTTCACTGGAGAATATTTTGAGCTTTGATTTTTTTTTTTTTTTTTTTTTTCCAGAGTGTGTTTGGGGAGAGGGAGAGAAACATCGACTGGTTGCCTCCCACACGACCCCGACCCCGGCCGGCTACCTAACCGCAACCAAGGTGCCTGCCCTTGACCGGAATCAAACCCGGACTCTTTAGTCCGCAGGCCGACGCTCTAACTGCTGAGCCAAACTGGCCAGGGCTCAACCAAAACTCTTCCACGAATACTAAAAGACCTCACCATAACCAACACTTCTACTTCTCAACATCACAAGAAACTATTATTACAGCCATCTGACAGCTGGAGAAACCGTGACATACAAAGGTGAAGTGACCTGCTCAAACTGAGTCACTGGCAAACTGAAACACGTTTCACTGAACTCCTCTTACGTTTTCTGGCAGCTACTTCCTTTCACCCTGTCACAGGCAAAGCAAGCTAACACCATGTATCTAAACATTACTATTAACTTCTCTATTTTTATCACTGAATAGGAAATTTAAATTCAAAAAAAGATCCTTTCAACAGAGTTCCTTTCAAGAATGAACACATGCCTGTAGTTAACCCCTTCTAGGTAAACTCCTTCACTCACCCCAATTACTTTGGCTGAAATATTCTCTTCCCTCTGCGATCCCCCCAAGATTATCGCAGTATTTTTTCCCCAACTAAAAGAGAGAATCCCCCTCTGTCCTCCAATCCAGAATCACTCTGAAATAGATTAGCTCTTTCCAACGTCTCGCTTTTCTGATGACAGCAGGTTCCTGGGCCTCCCTTTAGTCCTCACAGGCTCTAGAAGCAGCTGTCCCTATTCTCTAAATATCAAAAGCGGCCTCGGGTTCCCATCCCCGGTCCCTGGGGTCCTCTCCCACCACCCTACCCCACCGCTACCTCACTCCCACCCCTCCCCCCAACATCGGCAGCTCGTGCTCACCTCGGCCCCAGACAGGAAGGGGTGCGAGGGCCCTGTGATCGTCAGGTAATTGTCGTTTCCTCCGGGAAACTGGAAATCAAAAGAAAGCCACGGGGATAAGTTAGTGGAGAGAAGGGAGTTAGCTTGGAGCGACGGATTCTGACCCCTATATTCAAACAACACGCCCCAAGCCCCGCTCTCCCTGCAGTCCCGTCAACTGCCTCTCCGCTCGGCTTCCCGCCTCGGCTTCAACCCGATCAGCCGCCAGCCTTCTTCGCGCTCAAGTTCCTACCTCCATCTTCACAAAACGGTTACCACCGTCTCATTCCCCTCATCGTTCCCACCGCCCCCACAAGCCTTGCAACTGGCGTCACTTCCGCAAGGACGCGCGTCGCTCTCCGCTGATTGGAAGGATCGCCTGCGGCTGTTGAGAGTCAAGTCCGGGAAGGCACAGCGGACGGAAAGGCTAGCTATCGCCCCCTGGAGCTTGGTGGGATAATGACACGTAGGTGTGTTAGAGGCGTCCCTGGTGGCGGTGTCTGAGTATTACCGTCACTCCAACCTAGAAAGGATTTCTGGGGAGAGCAATAGAGACGTGGACTGGGCTAGAGGGGCCGGAGATGGGCGGATTGTGTGGCTAGAGAGGCCGGAGGTAAGTGGCTGTTGAAGTCGGGCGGACCCGGAATCCAGAGGAAACAGGACCATGACTTATGCTTATCTCTTCAAATACATTATCATCGGTGACACAGGTAACCCGCGGGCAACTGCCCTCTTTGCTGGGGCGGGCATCCCAAGCTCCCAAACCGGGTCGTAGGGGCGGGGCTCGTTTAGTAGGCTGGGCGGTTAAGAGAAGAACGGGCGGGGGCGGGGCGGTCGGGGGCGGGGCTCGGGGCTCCCCTGTCCCAGTCCAGGACGCCCCGATTCAGGACTGCTCCCCCGCCACGTGAATGCTAGAACGGGCGTCCTCCTGTCTAGGTGTGGGGAAGTCATGTCTCCTCCTGCAGTTTACAGACAAGCGCTTCCAGCCTGTCCACGACCTCACAATAGGTAAGTGCCTCTCCCTGTCACAGAACAGATAATGAAACCTGACTAGCTAAAGTGGGAAGTTAGCAACCTTCAGGGTGTGAAGTAAAAAGTTAGTCTTTTTTTAAACTAGTCCAAAGTTTCGTTAAATGAAGAGGGACCAATCAAATACTGTAAATGGGGAGTACTGTAATGGGGAGTAAATAATTGAAAGGTAACTTTAGAAATGAGCGTGAGGTATGACCTAGTTGCTGTAGGATTTTTTTTTTCCAAACAGAATTTGAATGTTTATGGAAAATTCCATGAAAGTATAACTACTTATTTGAAAACAAGCTTTGTGGGACGTTAGGCCTGGTCTCACTTATGTTCTGAAAACTAATTACCAATATATAGTTTTTGTGTTAAGGCATAGCCTGCTGGGGCCCTAGCAGCCCCTTCCCCATAATCTCCATAACTTCAGCCCAAAGAAATATGTAAAATTAGCTTTCTTGCCATGAAAATGCAGTTTCTGAATAAAATCAGTGACTCCCTGTCATACCATATTGCCACCTCCAAACACCACGTTATGGAAATCTGAAGCTACTACTGCTTCCAAAGGGCTTATTCAGAGCCAAATAGCTAGTAGGGTTACAAAAGGACTTAGAGAATAGCATCTACAAGAACATATTTTTGGAAATGAATAAAGTGGACACCCAAACTGTGATAGGTGCTAATGATACAGTGCTTAATAAGGCAAACATTGCCTGTCCTTAAGTAGCTTACAGTGTTCCAATGTAGGAGTTAGAGCTGGGGGTAGATACAGTGTAGTGACAAGTAAACTTCTATTGCAAAAAGGGAGAAAAGACTGCCACCTCTGTCAGGAAAGGCTGGAAATTGAAGAATGAGCAAGAGTTAGCTAGGCAAAGGGGTTGTAGAGCTGAGAGAAAAGTGATCAGGGCAAAACAGAATAATAACATGCAAAGGCTCAGGAATGACAGAGATCAGGCAGGCTACCTTTGGAAAACTGAAAGTGGTTTAATATGGCTGGAGCATAGAGTTTGAAGTGGAGAGTGATTAAAATGAAAGCTAGAGAATAAATTAAGGACCAAGTTTTGAAACAACTGAAGGTAATGGGAGTAAATGACAAGTTTTAAATCTGAGAAATGATGTGATCAGGTTTTCCCCAGAGTTCATTTTACGCTCTGTTTCTTTCCTCTGTACCTAGATAAATTCAGTCCATTTTACTAAAAGACAGTTGGATAGAAATTCATGCAAAGTATAAGGTCTTTGAGTGCATAACTTAAGAAAGTTGCATAAAAGGAAACAGAGTTTTATTTAATTTTCCCCATTGAAATTTCTTTTTTTTTTTTTTTTTTTTTTTTTATCCTCACCCGAGGACATTTTTCCATTTTTTGTTCAGGTAGAGTGGGAGGGAGAGAGAGGAACAGAGAGAGAGAAACATCGATGTGAAGGGACACATCGAGTGGTTGCCACCCGCACAACCGACCAGGGCCGGGGACAAACTGCAACCGAGGTACGTGCCCTTAGCGGGGACCGAACCCGGGTCTCTCAGGACCGCAGGCCGACGCTCTAACCGCTGAGCCAAACCGGCCAGGGCCCCATTGAAATTTCATTCCTGTTTTCCAGAAAGGAAAAATAAAATTAGAAACTTTTTTCAGTAATTATCACTATTCTTTTTTTTTTTTAAGGGAGAGAGAGAGAGAAACATCGATGTGAGAGAGAGAAACATCAGTCAGCTGCCTCCTGCATGGCCCCTACTGGGGATCAAGTCGGCAACCCAGGCATGTGCCCTGACCAGAAATTGAACAGGGACCTCTCAGTTCAAGGAATGACCTTCAATCCACTGAGCCACACCAGCTGGGTACTATCACTATTCTTTTTTTTTTTTTTTTCTCAAGCTCAATTTAACCTTTATTATAGCAGACCATTTTCTTTCTTTTTTAAAAATTATTTTTATTAATTTATTTTTACTACAGATGTTTCTCCTTTTCCCCCCATTGATACCCTCCTCCCCACTCCCCACCCTCACTATCACTATTCTTGATGAAGCAGTCTAGAGTAATAAGAAACATTTTTAAAAATCGTACTGACTGAAGCACCTTAGAGTTGAGAGAGATAGTCCAGGTATATTGTGGATAGGACCTGAATAGGTACATAGCAGCCCATTAGTAGAAGCTAGATTAGTGCTCTTTCTTACTTGGAAATCAGAATTCCTTGAGTCAAGTAATGTATAAAAAATAGAAAATAGGACAAATCTTTTGACTTGTGATCAAGTGTTTTAATGTAAGTGACCTTTGATTTTTAAGTTTTGTCTTAGCATTACCTTGAAAGAAGATGAATGCCAGGTAAACCAAAACCTTTATTTAGACTGATAGTTTCCACACTCCAGTGAGGAAAGCTGTTTTCCAGCGAACTCTGGGAATTTCTGGAGATCTAAAATGTATAATTCTTGAGAATCTATTTCTTAGATAGGCCCTTTTTTAAACAAAAAATTCTGGAATTGCAAAAATAGAAATATTATTTTATATAGAGGACTAAAGAGTGACTTTGAGAAAATGCTAGGAAATATTTTCAAAAGTTTAAAAGTTACAAAATTAAGCATTACCTAGTCAAATTTAAGCATTAACTAATATTGCTGAAAATGTGTTTACCTTTTCTACTTCCTAATTCGTTTTATCTCCATATCTGCACTTTGGTTACATTCCTGAGGTTATTATCACATAGTACAGTTTAATTTTAGAAAAGAAATGAAACTTCCAGGAACACAAAATTAATTGGAGCAAATAGGCAGTGATAATGGGCTTAGTGGCACTGAGGGCAGACAAAGGATGAGTCTTTAGCATACTGAAGAAAAGCAGGAACCTCGCACTCAACATGGCTGTTCATGAGAATCATATTCTTTCTCTTGGTCTTCACTGACAGGTGTGGAGTTTGGGGCCCGTATGGTCAACATTGATGGAAAACAAATCAAACTGCAAATCTGGGATACGGTGAGAGAGGACACAATAATTTAGTCTGTAACCAAGATCCAAATATAATACTAAAGGCCGATATAGGGGAAAAGAACTTTGGGGGTGGGGCTAATGGTGGAGATGAGAGTAGGGGAAGAGTGAAATTAAAGAGATAGGGAAGCTTTCACTTCCCTCTGTTACAGTTACAAATTATGAATGCCATATTTTAAAATTTTGTTTTAAATTACCCAGGTAATATATATGTTTGTTCTAGTAAAAATAGAAGCCAACAATATAAGTGTATAGAGTAAGAAGTAAATGTCACTCCCTCCCAATGTTGCTTTATACTTTGCCAGAATAAACCACTATTAATGATTCAGACTTTTTTCTGTACTTAGATACATAAATAGAAACATAAACAAATATATGGCAGTGTTTTTGTTTTTGTTAGTTTTAAAAATTGTGACAAAGTAGACCTGCTTTGTGACTTAGGTTTTTTGTGTTTTTTTTAATCAATCTCTGTGTTGTGGAGGCTTTTCCATGTTGATACATATAGATCTACCTCATTTCTTTTAACCACTGAATAGAATCATAGAATGTCTGTACCATAATTCATTTAACCATTTGCCCATTGATGGAAATTTAGGTGGTTTCCTTTTTTTTTCAATACTCACCTGAGGATATTTTTTTTATTGATTTTTCTTTTTTAGAAAGAGTGGAAGGGAGGGGGGAAGAGAGATAGAAACATTGATGTGAGAGAAACAATGATCAGCTGCCTCCTGCGAGCTCCCTACTGGGGATCGAGTCTGCAAGCAACCTGGGCGTGTGCCCTGACCGTGAATCAAACCAGCGACCTCTTGATGCATGGGACAACACTCAACCAACTGAGTGTTGGTTTATTCACTGGCCAGGTTTATTTACTACACCTTTATGCAGATGTTTGGGGATTTCCGTGGAATGTCTGCCCAGAAATAAAAATTCTGGGTCAAGGGTTATGCATATTTTAAAATTTGACAAATGAAGTACTGCCAAAATTTTGCTTGACTTAGTGTAATTTTATCTAGATAAATTGTTTTTGTGTGCATTATCTAATTTGGTTTGTACTTTCATTTTCCCTAAGAAAAATAATATTCTAGTTTATAAGTTAAAGAGAGTTACCACATAGTTCTAATGTTCAGCTAAAATATCGCTGTTTTTATTTACTTCTTATTTGATTCTGTATTTTCTCAGAACTGAGAGCTGAAGCAGTGCACACGTTTTTCCCTCCCTTCCCCCTCCCCCTACTCGACATCCTACAACACGTGCAGATATCTGTCTTAAAAGTAGTTACTTGGGCCCTGGCCGGTTTGGCTCAGCGGTTAGAGCGTTGGCCTGCGGTCCTGAGAGACCTGGGTTTGGTTCCCGCTAAGGGCATGTACCTTGGTTGCAGTTTGTCCCCGGCCCTGGTTGGGTTGTGCGGGTGGCAGCCACTCGATGTGTCCCTTGGATGCACTGATTGATCAGGTGCTTTTAACTGTAATGATATTCTCCTATACGTTTATTGATTGTATTTGCAAACATTTTAGTAACCTTTTGCCCTACTGAATAGATTTTTCATCTTACCATATTGGCTTGCCCTAATTATAGGAACACGAATCGCTTCACATCTCTGATAGTGGTAGCACTAGCTAGATACCTCTAAAACTTCCAAACTTACTTCTTTTGACCAGTTTTGTCTCTAGCCTTTTTCTCCCAATAAAGCCTGAAACATATTATTTTATATCTGTTGTCAAGGTTAAATTCATATATTTCTTAGACAGTTGCCGCTTACTCCTTTCTCTTTTTATTGTTGGGGCTCTGGGATTTTTTTTCACTATTAATCCAAGTAAATATTGCAGCTTCCTTCTTATTATCCCCTGATTTTTGTATTTCCTACCAGCATAGATTTGGCCCCCTAAAGAGGCCAAAGGACAGATTCTGAGGAGGTGACCAAGAGTGAAAAACCTGTAGGTGTCAGGACTGGTAGATTCTGCCTTTTTTTTATTTTTTATCCTCACCCGAGGATATTTTTCCATTTTTTGTACAGATAGAGTGGGAGGGAGAGAGAGGAAGGGAGAGAGAGTGAGAAACATCGACGTGAAGGGACACATCGAGTGGCTGCCACCTGCATGACCAACCAGGGCCGGGGACAAACTGCAACCAAAGTACGTGCCCTTAGCGGGAACCGTACCCGGGTCTCTCCGGACTGCAGACCAACACTCTAACCGCTGAGCCAAACTGGCCAAGGCAGATTCTGCCTTTTTAATTTAAACCTCTGTCATTTCCAAAACTAGATCTTTTGATGCCTGAAGACCCAATAGCTGCCAGTTAGTAGTATGGTCATGGTCATGGTCATGAGAGTGTCTTGAGGGTTGGCTTGCTGGCTAATCTTTTTTTTCCTTAAATGGTAATATGACACCTGGTGGATCATAAAATAAGAAACTCGAAAGCCATTTCTCTGTTTCTTTTTTTTTTTTTTTTTCTTTATTGATTTTAGAGAGGAAGGGAGAGGGAATGAGACATAGAAACATCGATGAAAGAGAACATCGATTGGCCACCTCCTGAATGCCCTCCACTGGGGATTTGGTCCACAACCTGGGCATGTGCCCTGACCGGGAATCCAACCAGTGACTTTGTGCATGGGTCAACACTCAACCGTTGAGCCACACTGGCCGGGTCCATTTCTCTGTTGATAGCATCCTCAAGAACCACTTATGGTACAGCTAGACTAATTCTTTTTATGTTTTAATTAATTCATTCATTTTTGTTAACAGATGATTCTCCTTTTTGCCCCCCAGAAACCCTCCTCTTTATCCCTCCCCCCACTAGACTAATTCTTTTTCTTTTTCTTTTAATTCTCACCCAAGAATACGTTTATTGATTTGAGAGAGAGAAACATCGACCCATTGCCTCCTGTATGCTTCCCCACCAGTAATTAAACCTGCAACCTAGGATGTTCCCTGGCTGGGAATCATACCCGCAACCTTTTGGTTTATGGGATGATGCTCTAACCAACTGACCCACGCTGGCCTAGTTCTTTTCTGCTCCCTTTTAGTAACTGTTTTGAGATTAGACTAATCTTTGTTGAATTATTAAAAGATATTTTCAGAATGCTGGGGTTTTCTATTTATTTTTAAATATTTAAGAGATTCCTACCTATAATGTGGTGTCTGTCTCCTCTGTCACTCTCCAGGTAAGCCTGACATTTCTCCCTTGTCATCCTTGATCTCCTGTCCATTGTTTACCTGCCTTGGCTTCCTACTTTGTTCCCTCACTTTGAAAGCCATTCTGCATGCAAATGTTTAGAGATTACCATGAAGGATATTTTTAAAGAGATCAAGTTATCCAAAGTGTTCTGTTGTTGCTTCTGGTTATTTATTGATTTTTTAAAATATGTTTTTATTGATTTTTTAGAGAGAGAGAAACATTGATGTGAAAGAGAAACATCTATCAGCTGCCTCTTGCATGCTCCCCACGGGGGTTTGAGCCTGCAACTCAGCCATGTGCCCTGACCCGGAATTGAACCGGGACCTCTCAGTCCATGGGACGACACTCAATCCACTGAGCCACACTGGCCAGGCAAAACAGGAACTAATTAAAAACATAAAACTATTAGAGAATAAATAACACTTTGAGTTCTTGGAGGGAAAACATGTTTTAAATCTTAAAGTATTACTAATATTACCAACAAATTCTTTAGAATTATTTTTTTGGATTCTGATATTCTAACAGGTGTGCAACTCAATAAGACATCTGTATGATTCTTATGCAAAGAGATTTAGTGTTGTTGGAAAAGTAATCTTAGAATTAGTGAACTGAAATTTTCTTCTCATCTTCACACGTGGTTTAGAGTATATGATGTAATGACCAAGAGAACAAACTTTTGTGCTAGGAAGTGCAGTACTAAGATCCTAAGTTTAAGCTATGAATTTAGCATTTATAAACTTTATAATTTTTGGCCATTTACTGAACTTAGCATTTTGAACCTCATTTTTTCCATTTGTGTTGTTATTAGTATCATCACTATTATTATACTATGAGAATGCTATTTATTTTCCTATGTTCACATTTTACTTTTCCCATCTTTAAAATATGAATATTAGCCTTCCTTCCCAATCTTTTAATTTTTATTTATTTATTGACTGATTTTAGAGAGAGAGAGAAACATCAATTTGTTGTTCCACTTATTTATGCATTCATTGATTCACTCTTGTATGTGCCCTGACCAGAGGTGGAACCCACAACCTTGGCATATCAAAATGATGCTCTAACCAATTGAGCTGCCTGGCTGGGGCACCCAATTTTCATGTAGGAATATGAGATGAATTTATTTTTAAGAATGTGAAAACTTTCCTAATATGGTATGTTCAATGCCCAGGGTATTCATACAATTATTTAAAAGATGCTTTTGCTTCCTCTAAGGAGGGGGTAAGCCCACCAGGAAAACAAAAGTACCCATTGTATGGAGGCATGAATAAATTGCTCAATTATAAATAATACTTAACTCCAACTGGAAATTGGATTCAAGTGTGAACAGTTGAATTTTTTTTTTTTTTTTTTAGGAAAACTCTGTTTTGGGACCTGGGCTTCTTTAGACAGGGTATTGGCATTCTAAGATAATTTTCCTTTTACAGATAAAGGAATAGAAACAGAAAGAAAGGTTAATGTGATGTGTTCAACATCATGTTTGGATTAATAGTACAACGTACACTGAGTATCTAGATTTATTTCCAATTATTCTCTCCTAGGGGATATTGGGAAATGTATGGAAATACCTTTGTCATACTGACTGTGGGGTGCTACTAGCATTTAGTGCCTAGGAACCAGGATGTTAGCAATTTGATAGATGGTCTCATGAGAAGAATTGACCCACCAAAATATCAATTGCATTCCCTTTGAAAAATACTGATTTCCCACCTGGGTTTCTCCCTGGGCAGTCATGTTTCCTTTCGGTAATTCCCCTTTCTTATAGATATATCTTTTTTAATTAAGGCATGTGATCAAGTCAGTTCTCTGGAAGTAACCTTGTTTTGTTGGGATTTTTTTTGTTGGCGTGTTGTTGGGAAAGGCTGGGCAAGAATCTTTCCGTTCTATCACCCGTTCCTACTACAGGGGAGCAGCCGGAGCACTACTGGTGTATGACATTACAAGGTGAGTTAGATCTGGTGGGTGGGAGGGATACTCTTCTCTTTGTTCTCAAAATCAGAGTGCTAAAAAGGAATGGCGTCTTAATATTTTTCTTTACACGTGTATCTTTTCTCCTTTTCCCATACATTTGGAATTTCTTTGGCATTTTGAAATGGGCCTCAGACCTACTTTCTAAACTTTTCTGCTGTAGGCGTGAAACCTTCAACCACCTGACCTCATGGTTAGAGGATGCCCGGCAGCACTCTAGTTCCAACATGGTTATCATGCTGATTGGGAATAAGAGGTAAAATTTTATTTGAATAAATAATAAGTACCAACAGTCATCTGAGTACTCTATGGACACTGAATTACTTGGTCCCCAAACTTTTTTAGTTTATGATGCTTTAAATATTCAGTAAAAAAAAAATTATTGTGGTGAAATATATATATATATATATATATATATATATATATAACACAAAAAATTTACAGTTTTAATCATTTTTAAGTATATAGTTCTGTGGCATTAAGTATGTTCATGTTGTTCTGCAGCCATCACTACCATCCATCTCCAAACTTTTTTATCTTCTCAAACTGAAACTGTTCTCATAAAACACATACTCCACACTCTCCATCCCACCAGCCTCAGCAACTGCCATTCTCCTTTCTGTCTTTATGAGTTTGACTACTATAGGCACCTCATGTAAGTGGAATCATACAGTATTTGTCCTTTTATGACTGTGGCTTATTTATTTACTTATTAATTTCTTTTTACTGATTTTTAGAGAGAGAGGAAGGGGGGGAGAGAGAGAGAAACACTGATTTGTTGCTCCACCCATTTATGCAATTATTGGTTGTTTCTTATTTGTGCTATGATGGAGGATGGAACCCACTACGTTGCCTTATGGGAATGATGTTCCAACCAACTGAGCTACCCAGCCAGGGCTGACTGTGGCTTATTTCATTTAGCATAGTGTCCTCTAGGTGCATCTATACTGTAGCATGTGTCAGAATTTTCTTCCTTTTTTAGTGCTGAATAGTATTTTCCACTGAATGTATTTACCACATTTTGTTTATTCATGCATTATTGGATACTTAGGTTGCTTTCACCTTTTGTCTATTGTGAATAATGCTGCAGTCAACATGGGTATACAAATACATGTTTAGGTCCCTGCTTTTGATTCTTTTGGGTATATACCCAGAAGTGGAATTACTGGATCTCATGGTAATTCTGTATTTAATTTTTTGTTGTTGTTAATCCTCACCTGAGGATATTTTTTCCGTTGATTTTTAGATAGAGTGGAAGGGAGGGAGGGGGAGAGAGAGGGAAACATCTTTGTGAAAGAGACATATCTATTGGTTACCTCCTGCACAACCCCTACTGGGGATCGAACCTGCAACCCACATACATGCCCTTGACCAGGAATCAAACTTGCGACCCTTTGGTCCAAGGGTCGACGTTCGGAACCACAGAAAACTGGCCAGGCTGTGTTTAAATTTTTCAAGGTATTACTATACTGTTTTCCATAATGGCTATCCCCTTTTACATTTCTACCAGCAATATACAAGGGTTCTAATTTCTCCACATTTCTCCCAACACTTGTTGTCTTTTTGTTGTTGCTGTTATTGTTAATCCTTAGCCAAGGATACTTTTTCCATTGATCTTCAGAGAGAGTCAGAGGGTAGGGGGAGAGAGAGAGAGAGAGAGACAGCAATGTGAGAGAGACACATGGATTAGTTGCCTTCTGCACACACCCTGCCTGGGGCCAGGGATCAAACCTGCAACCCACGTACATGCCCTTGACTGGGAATTGAACCCGAGACCCTTCAGTGTGCTGGGCTGATGCCGGTCTAGGGCATGTGCCTGGGTTGCAGGTTCGATCCCCAGCCCAGGTCAAGGTCATGCAGCAGGCAACCAATCGATGTATCTTTCTCTCCCTTCCACTCTATCTAGAAAATCAATGGAAAAATATCTTCAGGTGAGGATTTAAAAAATAAGAAGAAGGAATAAAAAGCATAAATTAAAATAAAACAATTTAAAACATTTCATTCTTAAACACCCACAATTACTTATTAATGATCTGTAGGTACCTATTGGACACTGCATAGCTTCTCAAACCTTGGAATCAAGATTGGATACTATGACTCTCATTTCTTGTTCCAAATTGATTTTTACACAGTACTTGCTTTTTATCACAGCAGCTGCCAAAAACTTAGCTTCACAAAGATATTAAGACATTAATCGGCATCTATTGTGATCTAGTTGACACTGTGAACTGTCTTAAGTTTGTAATTCATGAGGTGTTCTAATGTTGAATGTTGCTGTATTTCCCTTGAAAATTTGAATTGTCCTGTCGCACCCTTGTGAGTTTGTAGTAGTCCCTAGTTTGCACCATTTGAGAACTGGCCACAGACTAATTGTATTCATTTATTGGGTCAATCAATTTTATGGAAAACCTTTGATGTCCTAGACACTGTGCCAGGCCTTGAATATACAAGGTGAAACAACAACAAAAACTCATGCCCCTACTCCTGTGGAGTTTAGGGTAGACGCAGATATTAAATATACATTATTTGTATCTAATTATAAATTACGATAAATGCAGTGAAGGGGAAAAAAGGCTGCTCTGAAAGCGAGTAACGATACCTATTTTTTATTAAAAATAATATTTAGGATGGAAACTGAAGGATAGGTAAGAGTTTGGTAGGCAAAGAATTAAAAATAGCCCTGGCCGGTTTGGCTCAGCGGTTAGAGCGTCGGCCTGCGGTCCGGAGAGACCCGGGTTCGGTTCCCGCTAAGGGCACGTACTTCGGTTGCAGTTTGTCCCCGGCCCTGGTTGGTTGTGCGGGTGGCAGCCACTCGATGTGTCCCTTCACGTCGATGTTTCTCTCTCTCTCTCCCTTCCTCTCTCTCCCTCCCACTCTATTTGTACAAAGAATGGAAAAATATCCTCGGGTGAGGATAAAAAAAAGAATTAAAAATAAAAACACCCAGATATTGGATAGGGAGAACAAAATGTGTGAGAGCTTTGAACTGGAAGAAGCTGAGCAAGTTATGGTATTGAAAGAAACCTGGTTTGGTTGGACTGAATCAAGAGGGAATGGTGCCAGATGAGGTTGCTGAGCAGGCAAGGGCAAGATCTTATGGCTTATAGGCCTCAGTAAGGAGTTTGGATTTTATTCTAAACACAGTGGGAAGCATTTAGAGTCTTAAGCAGAGAAGTGACTTGATCAGATTTTAAAAGATTTCTCTGGCGAGGAGCAAGGATTGAAGTGGGATTCCCAGTTATAGTACTCGAGGTGAGAGAGAATGGTGGTTTGGATTAGGGTGATGGTGCTAAAGACAGATAGAAAGGCATAATTTTAAGGTACATTTTGGAAGCACCTCACTGTGAAATAGATTGGGTTTTTGGAGTGAAGGAAGGAATGGTGTTAATGTGGAAGTCTGTGGCAGAAGCAGATTGGGAGGAAAAGATCAAGTTCCATTTAGATGTAAGTTTGAGGTACCTTTTATACATCAGTGTGGCAACAAAGAACAGGCAAATGGACAGAGATTAGGAGCTTAGAGGAGCATCTGGACTAGAAGAACAACTTCGGAGAGTTCCATTTAAAAATTTTTTTTAATGTTTTTATTGATTTTTTTTTTTTAGAGAGAAAGGGAGAGAGAGATAGAAACATCAACGTGAGAGAAAAATGTTGATCAGCTGTCTCCTACACACTCCCTGCTGGAGATCGAGCCCATAACCCCGGCATGTGCCCTGACCAGGAATCGAACTGGGACCTCTCAGTCTATGGGACGACCCTTAATCCACTGAGCCACATTGGCCCAGTTTCATTTAGATGGGTAGTTCTTACCTGGTCTGTACACAGCTGATGAATAATAAATAATGCATATTGTAGATTTGTTGTTCTTTAATGGATTTACTCCTTGATTTATTTTTCATGGTTGAAAAACTAGAAGCCTCCCAAATGAAAATTTCTAAATTGAAAAGTAAAAAAAAGTCAATCTATCCTTACCTTATTTTATAGCCTTTTAGCCTGTCTTTCATAAAGTTTTTCCATACCACTCTTTACTCCCTTTCTTAGTCCTTGGCTCTATTCCCCCACCCTCATATCACCTAATTTTACAATTTTTTCTGAATCCTTCATTCACCTGATGGCAAGCTGTTATTATACACCTTAATAATGAGACTAGTGAGAGTTAAGGCAGTTGTGTTCTTCTTATTCATGGTTTTCCCTCTTCTTGTGGATTGATTCCAGTAAAGGAGGAAGACACTCATCATGAGAATGGGACATTTGTGACTTTTCTCCTTTCTGACAACTGGAATTTCCCTTTCATCTTCTTTCCTTTGCTCTTACTGGATCTCATTTTAAAAAGAAGCATAGGACATAAGCCTTGAGCAATTATAGGGCTTGCCTAACCCTGTATAAACCCTTTTTCTGTCTGATTGAGTGAGGTATTATCCTCAACCATGCAGCAGCTGTCATGGATCTGAAGAATATTTTTCAAGAGACTACAGAAACCAGTAACCCTATATAAAGAGAAGATCATGTAGGATCTGCATTCCTTACGGATTAACTGACAGTTGAAATAGCTATGGGATTCTTTTAGAACAAGATTTTCTTCTTTACTTGGATCTTATTTTAGTTTTCTCCCCAATTACTCTCTTGCAGTGATTTAGAGTCCCGCAGGGATGTGAAGAGAGAAGAAGGAGAGGCCTTTGCTCGGGAACATGGGCTTGTATTCATGGAAACTTCAGCCAAAACAGCCTGCAATGTTGAAGAGGTATTTGGGAAAAAGTAGGAAAAGCTTTTTAGAGATTACATCATAATAATATATTTGTCCTTTTATTTAAAGATATGGGTAAGGAAAGGATGCCTTGTGGTCAGAGTGACCATATGTCTCCCTTTAAGGGAATTGCCCCATTTCTTTTATCTTGATTTCTCTGATTTTGCTTTTGCCTTGGGTAACATTAAGTGTAAGTTTGGATTAGATACCACTGTTACTTGTAAATTACTTTAGTTGGAGAGTCTAATGGGTTCTGCTGTAGTCATTCCTCAGCTTGGTGTTGACTGTATCTTCAGTAGTTAATTAACAAGAGAGCCTGTTTGTTTTATATGTAGAGGAGGCCAACCTAGGAACATCTTGGGTTAATACCATAATACCATATATTTCCTTTTTTCTTTTTGAAACTACTCTTAATGTCTTTTACAGGGACTTTGGGGGACCTACTGGGTTTTTACTCCGTTCTCCTAATGATGCCTAATTCACTTTAGAAATTCAAATAGGAATAATATTTGTAGTCTCTTTTCCTAATTTCTCTACCTAAATTTGAGCCTAATAATATGATTTATGTCTCCTTTAGGCCTTCATTAACACAGCCAAAGAAATATATAGGAAGATCCAGCAGGGTTTATTTGATGTCCACAATGAGGTGAGAGAGGGTAGGGCTGACAATTAAATTTGCCTTATATTAAAGAAGACAGGAATGTAAGCATCCTTTAACATTATACTATTTGAAGCTATGCCAATTCGTAGTTGGTTTTATTATGTAGGTGCTTGAAAACCTGTCTTATTTCCTGTTTTTTCCCCCTCAAGTCGGAGACCTAGAATGGTTCAAGTGATTATTAGTTGGTGATCTAAAAGGCTTATACAGTATGGGAGGTTTTCTTCTCAGCCTCAGTTCTTTACTATTCTAGAGCTTGGGAGAGGTGTAATTCTTAATTTTTCAGAAGGGCCATTTATCTAAAGCGTATTTGCGGTCATAACAAAAAAGAATTATAGCCCGGCTGGTGTGGCTCAGTGGTTGAGCATCGACCCATGCACCAAGAGGTCACTGGTTTGATTTTTGGTCAGGGCATATGCCCATGTTGTGGGCCAGATCTCCAGCAGAGGGCATGCAGGCGGCAGCCAATCAATGTTCTCTCTCATCAATGTTTCTATCTCTCTCTCTCCCTCTCCCTTCCACTCTCTCTAAAATCAATAAAGAAAAAAATAACAAGTATGTTTTAAAAAAAGAATTATATGCTAATGCTACTCTTTTGCCAGTTCCTACTCTTCCCTAATCAAACCCTGATTCTGCACATAGCTATGAACCTAACCCTCTTAAAAAAGAGTACAAAAGGCCTGGCCAGTGTGGCTCACTGGTTGAGCGTCGACCCATGCACCAAGAGGTCGCTGGTTTGATTCCTGATCAGGGCACATGCCCAGGTTGTGGGCCCAATCCCCAGGGAGGAGCATGCAGGAAGTGGCCAGTAGATGTTCCCTCTCATTGATGTTTCTATCTCTCTCTCTCCCTCTCCCTTCCTCTCTCTCTGAACGTGATAAAGAAAAAATATATCTTTTAAAAAGACACGAAAGCCATGTCTAAGTCATCTATAATACTTATTAACACAGATGGTAATTTCATCTTCACTGTCACAGATTATTGTTCTACAACAGTCTGGTTAGGGCACATGGTTACTTGCCAAGGTCATATCTGCTTCTAGAAAGTATAATTAATGATTACTCCTTTTTATTTCCCTCCTTTTTCCCATTTACTTTAGCACTTGAGGTAAGAACTATTGCTTCTTTTCTTTTACAGGCAAATGGCATCAAGATCGGTCCTCAACAGTGTATTTCAACATCAGTGGGACCTAGCACCACCCAGCGGAATTCTGGTGACATAGAGTCCAACTCTGGCTGCTGCTGAACATCTGGCTTGGACTCTTTTTTTTCTTCCTGGAACAGCTTCAGATCAATAGGCTTAAAGAAAGAGGTCTTACTTTGGCAGAGAAAAGCCTGTTTTCAAGGTGTGATGTTTTGCCTTTCCACTTAAAAGACCAGGGGAGAATTTGGGCCCTTACTGACCTGTCCCTTCTTCAGGGACGTGAGCATTCCCTATACATTGGGGCTCTTCTTATCGTCCTATTTTAATTTCTAAGATGTTAAGATCAAAGTTGATTGTCATGGCAATTCAAAAATGAATTATTTTAGAAGTATACATAATCTGATCTCCACCAGGAATCAGTAACATGGGTCTGGGACATTCTGCTTCAGCACTTGAGATTACTGGGATCCGGCTAGCCTTTGGGTGATAGATCCTAGGTCTATAAATTTCATTAGGTTTTTCCACTTGCTACTTTGTAAGAGTTCTTGCAGAAGGCAATTCCTTCTACAAGGAGGCTGAATACTTCTCTACCATCCTGTTACTAGTTTCCCTGTCTTACAGTAACTACAAATCTTTTGAGAACAGTAGAATTGCTCCTGGACCTGTGGCCACTTAAAGAAGACATCTTTTCCTGTTACTTTGTTTTAGGGACCAGACCTAACACTGCGGTGTCTCTCACCAAATAGACCCCTACTATTTCATCACACGCACTTCTTCACGAGACCTATTGAGACTTTTTACTATAATCAGGCTAATCTGCTTACTTACTGGACATGACATATTTACTTCTGCTTCTATGCCTTTGCACATGAGCTACTCTCTGCTAACATACTCAAAGTCCAAAACTTTTTCCTTCAGAAAGTCTTCTTTGACTGACCTAGGGACTTCTAAGCAATTATTGACACAATACCCCTTAGCTTTCATATGTTGTTTATTCATATGTATATTTATTTGTATTTACATTGCTTTGTAAATATGTTCTATAGTTGTTTTGTGTGTGGAATTTGTCTCCCCACATAGTTTGTAAGCTCCTTGAGAGCAGGGACCACATTATCCCTATACTTTGTAAACCACTCCCTCCACCATTCCTTCATAGTGCCTAGTGCTATTTATGTGATCATTGAATTTAACAGACTCGGAACAGGTCTATTTTAAACTTCAGAGGAAACAAAAGGCCTTAGAGTCATCTCTTTGTAACTCTATCTCAGTCTCTTCCATCTGCTTACCCTGGATTCTATATTCCTTTCTTCCTTTCCTTTCTTTCCCTTCTTAGCTCTTGGCTTCCATTCCATGCAGCATACAGTAAGGCTGCCTGCTTCTAAGCAGTCAAATAAGTGGTACTTCTCCAGCCATTCTCCTTTTGAAGAGCATATAGTACTATCCTAGCCAAATTTGCCTTTGTTTCCCTCATCATTCAGCGTTCTGGGTCAGTTGCTGTATTTTTTTCTTGCGTTGATGTCCCATGCTATTCCACAGCACTGAAGTCTCATGAAGTTTTCTAATTTTTTTGTTGTTGGTGGTAAATTGTTTCATTATTAAATATATGCATGTATCCAAGCTACTCATACTTCATGTGTCATTTCTGATTGTATCCTAAACATAAGTAGATACTCCTAGGAAATTGTATCAAAGGTATTGGAAGAAGTACTCAAGTAGATACTCTCCTTCTAGGAAATTGTATCAAAGGTATTGGAAGAAGTACTCCTTGAGATACATTCATTCTGTACTGGATTTTTTTTTATCCTCACCCAAGGACATTTTTGCATTTATCTTCAGATAGAGCGGGAGGGAAAGAGGGAGGAAGAGAGAGAGAGAAACATTGACGTAAGAGAGAGACATCAAGTGGTTGCCACCCACACTACCCCAACTGGGGCCAGGGACAAACCACTGTTTGTCTAAACCACATTATTTATAGTAGTCTAGATCATATTATTATAGGTAATTGCAGATAGCAGAAATATTAGACCAGGCATACCCTTTCTCCTTTCTATAATGCCAATAACTGGTCCCTTTGATAGCAGGTTTATTTTATATCAAATAAGCAGAAGGATAATAGATTCTCATTCTAGAAACTATTAATAATTAAGATCTTATCTGCATATGCATTTACAGACAAACACGTTCTAGCACCTAATACCTTAAATTTGATATAATGATAGGGAGAATTTGGCCAGTAGATTTTGTTCAATGTACAGGAAAATGTATATGGCCAACTCCTATCATTTCTGTGATAAAATATTTACTCATATGACTCCTTAAGTTCTCTGAGCTCCTACCATGTGTGACCATGCAAATATGTTATTCCTTTAGAAATTACTTTCATAATCTGGAAAGGCTCCCTTCACTCCCCAGTTCAAACAAATGAAAACTTCAGCTAGCAAGTAGATATTTAGACTAGGAAACACAGGAAAATCTCATTGAGCACAAGAGAATTTCAGTCACTATAAAATTTCCTATCTGTTGTGGAATTGTGCCCCTGAAACCTGTATAAGTTTGTTAACCAATGTCACCACAATAAATTCAATAAAAGGGAAATAAAATGGTCTCTTTTCCTATTTAGATATAGTTACTAGAAAATTATTCTCTGCGACCAATGTTTTTAAGGCTGTCCCTTGCTGGCCATCCTCCTCACATATAATTTTTAAGGTTTCTAGCATTTGCTTTATCTAAATGCACAATTTGAGTCTGTTGATGAATTTAGACTTTTTTTTTTTAATTATATTCTTCCCTAAATCTTGTTGCTCATTTCCAACTGACTCCCAGTTCTCTGTACTGTCAAAGGCAGAACACTGGAAAACTTGCAAGTGAAGCATAAGGATTAGAAGCATCTAGAATAGATATATAACCTGTTGGTCTAATGCTGATATCCTGAGGAGTGACTATAAAGGATTATTCCAGTAACTGGGAAAACCCACTGCCCTTCTAAGAACTCATTTTGCTGCTTTGATTTGGTAGGATCACTCCACTCCTATGAGAGGGGTGGTGGTTGCTTCCAACCACATTCAGCAATATTCCAGAGTTTCTCCCCAACATGACTAAGGGACATTCTAATTACATATAAGAGAGTACATTGAAGCTGGACATATGCAGTCCGACATGTGCCAAGCCCGATCCAAGATGGCTTCCCAGAAACAGGTAACTAAATGTTTTAGTTTACAGCGCCCCCCAACGGCGGGGTTCAAAATAAATGCCAAGAGTCCTGACCGCCTGTGAACTGAGCCTTCCGACTTCAGCTACCGCCAGATTTTATTTTCAATCAGGCATATCTGTGGTTACCTACGTACCCTTCGGAGCCTTTTAGGACCTCCCACCCTCGAGAGACTTCCTGGATGGCACTCACACAACCCTGCTGGAAGAGGCCGGGCGTCGGCCCTGCCATTGGTGGGAGGGAGCGTAGGTGGGCGGAGCCAAGTGAGAATGGACTACTAGCAAGCTAGATTGAGGCGAGGGCTGGCCATGCTCCGCCGGAAGGCGCCTTGTTCTCCGAAAGGGTGAGTTGAAACGCTGGCTGGAAAGGAAGCACCGGGACTGGTTCAGGTAGGCTTCCCGTTCATGCCCGCTCTTCGCTGCTGGTCCAAGGGTCTCTGCAAAAGCTAAGGCTCTTAGAATTGGTTCCAATAACTCATCCTCTTCCTCGATCCACCGCCCCCTGCCCGACCGTCCGCCAGTTGTTAAGGGATCAGGTGCTGGGTGATGCTCTGGACTGAACCATTCTCCTTTGTGAGAGGCCGGGGGAGAGGCCGGCCGCCGGGCCGCGGAGCCCGAGCCGCGCCGAGCCACGAAGGGATCTGCCCCGACTGCTGTGGAGTTTTAGGGCTTGTCATTGTATTACTGGGCGTGGTGTAGATTTTGAGGCAGCTCCTTGTTCTCCTTGCCCCTTCCGAGGAGGGAAAACTCCCCGGCTCCGTTTGGTTACTCCATTACTTTGGACTCAGAAGTGGGAGGTTAGGGGTTTTGTTTTTCCTTTTTTTGATTGTGATTTTGTATTTCATTAGTAAAGGTGGGTAGGACTCATGGGGTAAGCGTGTGGAGATTATTATACATTATTAGATGCAATTGCTGTGGGTCTTTGGGAAAGAAGAGCAGGCTTTTGGAGTGTTTAGAGGTGATGGGAAAAGAGCTCAAGCCTCCACTGACAGGTCTGCAGAGCTTACTGGTTTTCTTTTGCATTATGTAAACTCTTCACTGGCAGAAGACCCCTCCCCCTGCCTCGGAGAGAATGCAATTTCTTTATTTACCTGTCTCTAGTGTCGCAGGAATTTTCCCTGCCATTGCAGCAGCTGTGCAAATGCAGCAGCTCCTACCTTTTAAGGAGCAGCTTTGGAGTGATTAAGGTCTTCAACGAAGAGGTGTATAGTGGAGGTATATAAGTGGATAGATGTTTAGTGGACCACTCTTTTGAATAAGTGAGCTTAGTGAGCCAAAACTCAAACACAGTACTCCATGTTTTCTTTTAAAGAACGTCCCAAACACAAGCCAGAGAAGCTGCATAATCGGTGACTACTGCATCCTACCATCACACCAGCAGCCACAGATTATTTACCCTTCTGTTCTGAGCCTCTCAGTTCGGTCAGGGATTCTCTGACTGGGTTATCCTTACCATCAGCTGAGGGCCCATCTGGTGTAGGACACTTTAGAAGTTGAGATTGTGGTGTGAATAATGTCTTCTGCTGCAGAATTTCTTTTGTGCTGGTCACCAAATAGGTTTCAGAACAAATTGCCAACTTCTTAGGGCCAGAACGTGAGAAGTTTCTTATTCCGGGTATTTTGGAATTATCCTGCCCCTGAAAGAAAAGAGGAGTTGTGATAAGGGTTGCAAGAATGGCATGCCAGTGGGTCTGCAAGGCAAGGTAAAGGACTCTGGCCAAAGACAGGGGTGTGTGTGTGTGTGTGTGTGTGTGTGTGTGTGTAGACAGACTTGGTGGGAGGTTTACAACTGAAGTAGCGAAGGAGTAATGGACTGGGATAAGGGATTTGATGGAGCAATGTGTGGGTACTGCACAATTCACACTTTCCCCATGTTTGATATATCCTGTGTATCTGGCCTTTTGATTTTGTCAGTTCCCAAATTGGCAAAATTCATTTAGACATGGATAGAAAATTATAGAAATCTGCTGAGGTAGTTGTGAATCACTAGGAAACACAGATTTTGTATTTCCCAGGACAGCCTTCTCTGCAGCACCGCTGGGTGATGGAGTGGAAGAATCCTGGCATTGTAGTAACCACCACTGCAGTTTTAGTTGTGAAAGGAAAAATTTGACATTTTATGTGAAGGGTCAAGTTTCTGATAAGTAAGGTAGGATGGTGAGGGGGATCTGTCATCAAAAGAAACCATTGCATACATCTTTTAAAGATTAATTTGTGTCCTGGCCGGTTTGGCTCAGTGGTTAGAGCATTGGCCGGTGGTCCAGAGAGACCCGGGTTTGGTTCCCGCTAAGGGCATGTACCTCGGTTGCAGTTTGTCCCCGCGCAGGTGGCAACCACTCGATGTATCCCTTTCACGTTGATGTTTCTCTCTCTCTCTCTTCCTCTCTCTCCCTCCGGTCCTATCTGAACAAAAAATGGAAAAATGTCCTCAGGTGAGGATAAAAAAAGAAAAAAGAAAAACCAACGTTAAAAAAATAAATAAAAGAAAAATAGATAAATAAAGATTAATTTGTGATGCCAGGATCTGTTCTTGCTTATTGAAAGAATGAGATTTGATATTCTCATCATCTGAAATACTGTAACATTTTCAGAGCATTCAGATGTATGCCAAATGTTTTAAAGATACTGTGTCCACAGCCCTGCAAGAGTTAAGCTATCTTCTGAGTTTATTTTGAGCCTGATACCTTGGGGATAAACAGAAGACAAGTATTTTTCTGCACCTTTCACCGTCACCCCTAGAAGTCGGTCTTCTTCTGGACTTGGCATTTGAGCAAGTCCCTGATCTGCAGGTCTTTGCATAACCTACCCTTACACTACTGTGACCGACCTAGTACTGTATTTACTATTTTACTTTTAACATTTGATTCTTTCATAGGCTATTGTTTCATATCTTACTCAGTTTAACTTTACAGATCTCCTCTTTAATACATTTTTTATTCTTTTCCCCATAGAGTAGGTGGTCTTCCTTTCATCCTCCCATTGGTTTTTTGTTGTTGTTGGTTTGTTTTTTAATTCACTGACATTGCGCCTTTTTGCTTGTCTTGCTGAGGCCTCTTAAGGAATGTAAAGGAACTAATGTAGTTGGTACCTAGTACCCAAGTAATAGTTGTATTTCTATCTGAAACTGTTGTATGAACTGTTAACCATTGCCTAAAAAAATTATTTAAGCACTTACTACATTCTAAATTTTATCCTGAATAACTTTTCCCTCTTTTAATTTCTCGGTTTTGTCTTATGTGGGCACATGTATGAAATTGTAATTTAGCTCTTTTTTTTTGTTTATTTTCTAACTTTCATATTGCCTTTAAGATTTTCATTATATTTGTATTGCAAAATAAATCTACCTCTTTGTAGTTACTGGTTGTTTTAAATTTAAACTACAAAGTATGGTAGTCTCTGAAATTTC